ACATTTAATATATATATATATATATATATATATATATGTATATATATGACTGGGATATGATCCACCAACTCAGAAGGTCTAATTTAGTAAATGATTCGCATTCTGTTTAAACAAAACTCAAGTTCCACCTTTCTTTCATTATTTTTTTGTGACGTTCCTTAAAAATTGACCTCTTGAGTTCTCTTCACCTTTCTAATTGTTAGATATAAAATTATGCCTTAATTATGTTTTTTCTTATAAAATATTATTTTTGTTCTATATTTTAAAATATATACTAAAATATTATCTTTTTAGTATTTAATATTAATTATTTCCTTTAAATTTTCAGCATAGTTTATGGAAGGCCAAGTCAGCTTGCCAGGTAAAATTACATGGCAACAAGAACATTACTACATGAATATATAATATATATATATATATATATATATATAACGAATTATTTCTAAAAAAATATTTTATAAGAGCTAGAAAAGAATAGTACAAGGACACAATATATTATCAAGCCTAATAATGAAATATAATTTAAGTGCTAAAATTAAAAAAAAGCAATAGATGAAAATAATTGAATAGAAAAATTCAAATTTAATGATTTACAACATACGTCCAAACACATTGAATAATAAGTGAATTTGGATGTGCATATGCAGAAATGGTTAGCGTACTCATTGTAGTAAAAATAAATAAATAAATAAAAGAAATGAATAATTATATAGTTGTAGACAATAAAGAAAAAAAGTTTTTCAATCTCAAACCCTAATTTCAATCCTTGTTATTATTCTCATCTCAAACCATCATACCACCTTATAACTTAACCCTAATTTCAATGAATTAGAAATATGTGAGACTTCATATAGAATATATAAGTTAGTGACAAAAGTGAAGTATAGTCATAGAGAAACTTCATATAATGATTGCTTTTTTTTTTTTAAACTAGTATTTTAGTCTATATAATACATAAATATATTTATTGTATATAATTAAGATTTATAATAAAATAATATATATATATATATATATATATCAATATAT